GGAAAAAGCAAGCAAAATCTGTTGTGTTGGTGAGGCCCTGGGTTCAGTACACACACAGTTACATACACAAGCAAAAATCTATGAAGTGTAAACCTGAAGGGAAGGGCCAGATGGTTGACATTTATTAAACATTTTGTGGTAAACAAAGGACTAAGGTTTGGGGGTTTCCTGGATGTGGGCAGGTGAGGACTTCAACCAAGGGAGTGCTGGTATGGATGACCAGAGGCTGCCCTGCCAGGCAAGGAGGGCCTCAGAAGGCCACATGGGTCACCTCTGCCTGGGGAGGTGCTCCCAGACTCTTTCCTGGGCAGATCCAGGAAGCTTCTGTCTGCATCTGCTGCTTTCCCTCCACTGCTGCAGACTGATGGAAACTTCTTCAGCCGAAGAACAGATTTCCAGAGCTATTTCTGGGTGCAGTTTCTCAGAATAACCATCTTGAAATATGGCAAGGAAATATATTTAGGAGAGGTGTAATCTGGGGACTGCCATGACACACAGTAGGTGTGTAATAAATGTTAATCAAATACATGGCTGGATGAATAGGTAGACAGCAACCAGTGTGCTGGAAGAGGACACTATTTTATAATAAACACACCGTTCTTTTCTAACTTAAAGGGATCATCTATCCACCAAACACACCCCGAGCCTTCTCTCTGAGTAAGCCTCCATTTCTATAAGTCCCTCTTCATCCCAGGATAGCACATGTCCTAAGTCTAGACAATAGGACCCCGACACTGGAGGAATAAATATAGAATTTAGATATCTGGGTTCCCTGACCGGTTTTGCCACCTGGTTGTGTTGTCCATAGTCACCAGCTCTCTGAGGTTCCATCTTCCATCTGAACAGAATGAGGATGGGATACCACTTCACAGGGCGACCTAGCAATCTGAGTGAGAGACATGGGAGTCCAACGGCTCTTTACAGTGACCCTCAATAGAGCAGAGTAACCACACCTACCGGTCTGCCTGGAACAGAACAGTGGATACCTGTCGAACGAAAGCAATTCTTAGCATTTCTCTTATTCCCCGAAGTGTCCTGGATTAGACAGTAGGTTGGATAAGAAAAGTGACACTACTTATCTGTATTGTGCCCCGAGACACAGAGGAAAGAGTCTGATTGGTGCAGCAGGCTTTCTCAGCCCACCAGCCCCCAAATCATGACATGGAGACTTAGTATTAGTTATGAAAGCTCAGCCTTATCTCATGCTTGCCCCACTAGCTCTTATAACAACCTGTTTCTCTTCATCTGGGTCGTGCCTGGGGGCTTTTTTTACCTTTCTTTTCATTCTGTATGTCCTACTTTCCTGCTTCCTCCATGTCTGGCAGGCTGGCCCCAGGCATCTCCCTCTCTTTCTCCCTTGTTCTCTTCTCCTGCCTACTTATTCTCTCTGCCTACCCGCCTCACCTATCCCTCTACTGTCTAGCTATTGACTGTTCAACTTTTTATTAGACCAGTCAGGTGTCTGAGGCAGGCAAAGCAACACATCTTTACATAATTAAACAAATGCAGCATAAACAAATGTAACACACGTTTACACGGGTAAATATTCCACAACATAAACAAAGGTAACACGTCTTTACACAGTTCAAGTACTATTCCACAACAGATTGGAGAAATAATAGTGAGAATGAGCATGGGAGTGTTCGTGGTATTGCATCAAGAGCAGAAGGCCAGGAAGCGCTTAGCAGCGAGGGACCAACAAGGCAGTTTAGAAAATAATCAACATAAACAGAGCTGGGGTCATGGAAGGAGATGAGGATTGTACAGCGGAGATCTGAACCAGGGACTTCTCAGAAGAGATCAATTGAGGAACTGGGGATAAATTCCAGGCAGCAGACCTAATGAGGCTGGAACCAGGACAGGGCCTGTAAATCCAGGGGAGGGAGGAGTTGGATGTAAGGATCACAGGATAGGTCAAAAGCAGGAGGATTTCTGGGTGGACCAGAGGTCATTCACTAGACATGGAGGCTAGGAGAGAGGTGAGAGGTGACCCAGGAGATGAGAGGTGAGCCGGGCCAGGCCAACTAAGCATTCATCACTCCTGATCAGATAAAAGGTCAAGGTTCATGGTAGGTAGAGGTCACTGGTGCAGCCAGAGGAAGGAGCTGGAGGCCTGGTCAATGTTCAGGTAACGTCTGATTCAAATGAGCGTTCATGGGGCTGGAGAGATGGGTCCCCAGCACTTGCTGCTCTTGTGGAGTTCCTGGGTTCAGTTCTGGTACCCACACAGTGACTCACAACTGTCTGTAACTCTAATCTGTAACTTCAGTTCCAGGGGACACAACACCCCCTTCTGGCTTCCATAGGCACCCTGGCACACACATGGTACACATACATACATGCAGACAAATATTCATACACATCAAAAACTAAATAAATATAAAAATAAAATAAAATGAACTTTCATGGCCAAGCTTTGTTGTGTATATCTATAACCCCAGAATCTGAGAAGCTGAAGTGGAAAGATTCAGGGTTCGAAGTCACCGTGGGTTCCTCAGTGGATTCAAGTTCAGCCTGAGCTACAACAGCGAGACCCTATTGCAAAACAAACAAGAACAGTGGCTGGGGTAGAGCATCGGCCTGGCATGATGAATAAGGCCCTTGGCTTGATGATTCCCAGCAATATCCAGTAAATAAAGAAGCATAAAATAAAGAAAGCTAGCTTTCTGAGCAACCTTGAAAGGCAAGAGAGAGCTCAAAATCAGAGCCTCCAATTAGAAAAGAGCCATTTGTAATAGTCCGACAGGCCCCGAATCACCAAGGCCACTACAGTGAGGACTCAGTGCCAAGATCAGCTGACACAAGTGTGCTGGAGTCACTTCGTCTACAGACTCTTCTTACGGTACAAATTCTAGAACCCGGTCACCCGTGCACTCTTGCATTGTGAAACTCTACATGCCAAACTGGTATATCTGCATTCACGCACCGGGAGGATGCTGTCCACATGAGTCCATGGAGTATGTTGAACAGTGGTCTGGCCAGAGAGGAATCTGGTTGCTTTTAAATAGGAGTTTGTGGTTCCTTTAAAAGGTCACAGGAGTATGTAGAGTCAGCCAAAGGGTTACTTTCCAAGAGGTGTTTCTCTGGGCTGGGAGAGAGAGCCTGGAGCTGAGTCTGTATCTGGTGGGTGGTGGTAATTGACCCTCAGGTCTGTGAACTGGCATTAACCACCAATAGTGATGCTTGCCCTATGTGCAGCCTTGGTAATGATGATGGCTACAGGGGCTTCTGAACCTTGCTTGCTCCCTCTCATCTTCAGTGACCAGTCCCACGAGATCAGGAGAGAGGATTCATACTTGCCAGAGCTGGCCTTGGCCCGGGGGCTAAAGGACATCTAAAATTCCAGTGCCAGTCAGGTGTAGTGGCACACCCCTTTATGCCCATCACTTGAGAGGCTGAGGCAGGTGGATTTTTGTGAGTTCGAGGCTAGCCTGATCTACATAGTGAGTTCCAGGCCAGTTAAGGCTACATGGACCCTGTCTCAAAAAAAGTAAAATAAAAATGAAATTCCAATGTCCCTTAATATAACGTGGAGACAGGGCCTCAGTGGACCCTGTGGATTGGGGCATGTGTTGGCCCAATGTTTACTCCAATTTCTTTTCATGTATGACTGTTCTTGATCCAAACATTGACACACAGTCTAGCTGCCCAGCAGAATAAAGGCTGAGCTCTTCAGCCTGGCATTGTAGACTTCTGGTAGCCTGGTCCTAACCTATATCGGATGAAGATTTCATATTCTAGGTGTTCACTGGCCCTTCCTGTAAAAAGTTATTTTATGTGTATGGATGTTTTCCTGTATGCGCCACATACATGCAGTATCTGAGTTAGTGAGAAGAGGGCTTTGGATTCCCCTGGAACTGGAGATACAGAGGATTGTGAGCCACCATGTGGTTGCTGGGAATTGAACTCAGGACCTCTGGAAGAGCAGCCAGTGCTCTTAACGGCTGAGCCATCTCTCCAGCTCCCGTCTTTCCTTATGATAGCTCAGCTCCTTCCTCGGGAGAATTGTTCTTCCTCCTACTGATCATACAGTGCAGGCTGACAGTGTTAAATCTGAGATAAATCAACTGAAAAGATGAAGGTTTATTTTGGCTCACAGATCCAGAGATTTCCATCCATGACTGGCCTAATGGCTTTCAGGCTGACGGTGAGGTAGTGAGACTGTATGCAAAGGAAGCGAGATGCATGGTGATAAGGGTTGCCTAACAATGTGAAAACCAGATGCTGATGAATGGTATTCTTGAAATTGGTTAAAACAGAGGTTTTATGATTTTTTTTCAAACCACAGTGACAACAAAGAAACACCTGACATGGAAGGAAGCAATGATGAATGATGGATGCAAGAGCTGGATGCCTCCCTGGATGCAGCTGGTCCACAGTGGTCCTTGGGCCAAGCTATTGTGGTACCCATGGCTCACAGGGTTACTTGAGCCAAAAATCTTTCTTTGGACCTCCACTCACTCGAGCCAGGCTTCTGTTCCTGGCACCTGATGGAGCCATAACACAGAACTTTCCATTCTGGCCTCTCTGTCATATCCTTCCAAATATTCTTTCCAGTTACACCCTGCTGCTCATGCTTCCTCGGGCTGAGCCTGCCTTTGCCTCCCCACTACGTGTTTCCTTCTGGCTTCCTCATTTTGGAATTTTCCTCCCCCACCCCCCTTACAAGCTTGTCCACTCTGACTGAGACCTTGCTACGGGAGCTCTTCTGCATGAACTCCCTCCTGAACCCCTGAGCAAGCCTGCCATCTCCTCCACTGGCCTGTCATAGCCTCTGTGTACATGCCTTCATCACCCAGGGTTCCAGGGGTCTGCCTTCTCGGCTGTAACCCCCAGGAAACTGTGTGCTTCATCTCTATATGACTCCAGTTTTTGGCAAAGGAAATATAATGACTATTTACTGAATGAGTGAGAATCCTTTCTTCCTTCATGCCGTCTCCCTGAGTCACTACTCAGTTTCTAAAGAAGAGAAAGAGAAGAAAGAGCAGGAGGAACTTGCCTTGTTCTGTTCAACGGTGATGATTCAGGAGAGAAATGGGGAATGGGGCCACTGCAAAGCCCAGTGGCATTTAGAAGAGGTCTGTAGGTCTGTTTTCTGAGAAAGCTCTGGTAGTGGCACCAATGAACTGAGACCGACTGTTTGGGAATCTGTGCCCAAGACAAGCAAACATTTGGGTTTTTCAACAAGCTAGAATTATTTTCATTCTTTCTCTTTTCTTTTTTATTCTTTTGTCCTTTCTTTCTTTCCTTCCTTCCTCCCTCCCTCCCTCCCTCCCTTCCTCCCTCCCTTCCTTCCTTCCTTCTTTCCTTCTTCCTTTCCCTTTCTTGCTTGCTTCAATAAAGCCTCATGTAGCCCAGGCTGGCCTCTTGGACTCCCTACTGCTGAATTACAGGCATGCACCACCACACGCCAGAGAGGAAACTAGTTTCTGACAGCTGTTTCTCTCAGCTGTACAGGGAGATGAACCTCAAGGCACCTGGCTGGAACTGGGATTCCCCCTGTCCTTGGCACAATCTGACCAAGAAACAAGGCAGTCCTCTTCCCCACCCTCCTCCTGGGAGGATGGGAGCTGAGAACAGTCAAAGATGAGTGGAGAGAGAGCTGTGGAAGAAAGAATATTACCTACTACATAGCCTATGTTTTCCCTGCCGGTTCCAGTCTCTCTTGGATGGCACCTGTGAGCAGCTGTAGCTAACGGTCTGTGAGTGGAAGCTGAGGTGTTCAGATATTGATGAGTGGAAGCTAAGGCGTTTACATATTGATGATCAGCCTTCAGCCTTCTTTCTCATAGGGCCAATCTGAAAGTCTGCCCTTCAGATGAGGGAGTTCAGGATGGAAGTGGCCTGAATCTCTAAGTGTAAAAGAAAAGTTAACAACGGGGTGTGGTGGCCACACAACTTTAATCCCAGGTCCTGGGAGGCAGAGGCAGTCAGAACTCTATTAGTTTGGGGCCAGTCTGATCTACATAGTGAGTTCCAAGACAGCCAAAAGTTGCCATAGTGAGACCCTGTCTCAAAAAAATAAAAAAAGTAATGTTTTAACATGTAATTTACCTTGGAGAATACCTTGACTCATGGCAGAAATATTATTTGTCTTGTTGCTCTGAGAAATACTTGATAGAAGCAGCAAGGAGGAGGAAGGGCTTATTTTGGCAGAGAGCTTGGGTGCATAGACTATCATAGTGGAGGTGTCATGGCGGCTGGAGGTCCTGATCACATTGTGTCTTCAGTCAGGAAGCAGAGGGAGAGAGAGGGAATGCTGGTGTTCAGCTGCTTTCTCCTGTCTATTCAGGTCCAGGTCCCCTGCCCATGGGATAGTGGATTCTCCCTCCTCATTTCAGCTATTCAGAAAACACTGGTATACATACAACCAGAGATGTGTTTCTAAATCTAACCAAATTGATGCTGAAGATTAATCACCACAGCAGGTTTTACTCAGGTGGGGAAAATACACCTGTGGTAAGCCACTGAGCTAGCTGGAGTATTTGTTACCACGGCGGAGCCTAGCCTGTTCTGATCATCATACAGACACTAATTGTTTTAGCTATCTAGCATCTTAATATCATACCTTAATCCCCTTAATACCTCATATTGGACTCCTTGGTATTGCCAAATCCAGTGGTCATGTCTCTGTTCTTATCTCTCTTGATTTCTCAGCAGCATTTGTCACAATTGACAGTTGGTCACTCCCTCCTGGACACAATTTATCTTGGCATCTATGACATCAGACCTGCTTGGTTTACCTCTTGGGTCACTAGACCCTGATTCTCAGTTTTCATTACCGGATATCCTTCCAGTGGGCTTTGCTGCTGTGTTGTTTTTAATCTCAGAAATTTGAAGATCTGGGGACCAGGTTTTAAATATCGACCAAGAAAAAGACTGCTTATTTTGTTCAAGTATTTGTTCTTTCATGACACCATTCTCCTCGCTCTGAGGCATGCTGGGCGAGTGCATTACCACTGAGCCCTTGCTCTTCCATTCCTTATTAATAACAGAGGTACTATTTTTTATCTTTTAAAAAGGAAAGAAACAGATGTGCCAAGATGATTGTTTTGACCAGTGAGATTTAAGCAAAAATATGCAGACCTTCCAAACCAGTCTTCTGAAAAGAAATAAGACATTCCCCTTCCCACTGTTTGGAATAGGGACCAGGATGAGCAGAACCTTAAGACTGAAGCTTGAACTGTCTGTCACCCTTTGGACATATTTCTTATGGAAAGAAATTTTTCATAACTCTCCCTCCCCATTTTGTTTCTCTAATTTGCCACCAAAATCTAATCCTGACATGTTTTTGTTGGTGCTGAAGGTGTTTTCCTGTCTCTCCTTACCAAGCCTAAGGGGTTGGGGAAGGGGGACTGAAGAAGGCATTTCCGGACAAGAAACTGAGGGGCCTCTTTCTACCAACAGTGTGTACCCAGAGTACCTGGAAGACAGAATGGGTGACAGAGTTTAGGAGTACTGTTCATTAGTTGACAGAAAACAGCAAATGCTAGATTAAGAATTTTGGGCTTTATTCTGCGTTTCCCTTGCCGTTAGGGGACCCTGTCTGTCTTACCTAGGGGTGCCTCTCACTTCCTACATGTTCAGTGAATGACTACATTCCCTACCACTTAATGGCTAGCCTCCACAGACGTGTTGGACGGTGAGCCTGTGGGAATCGGTCCCGGGTCCACGCTCAGTCTCCTTTTTACAGATGAACGGAAGGCTCCCCTGACGGGAAGGAGCACCCAGCCCAATGAGTCGCGGACCTGGAATGGAGGGCGGAGCCTGAGCAACACGGCTGCGCCGGACCACCTGACTGCGGGAGGCGGGGCTTCCCCGCCGCCCGCAGGCCCCGCCCTCCGGGCCCCGCCCAACTCCTCTCGCGGGGCCGCGCGGGTTGTGAGGTGTCTGAGCCCGGCGCC